AATTCTATGTGAAATCAGCACATTGTACCCATAAATGCATTAATGTATACATGATCTATGTGTTCATGATTTAATAAATAAAATTGCCCACCTACAAAAAATAAAAATAAATAAAAAGAAAAAAAATATGATTTCTTCTTTCCCATTAGCCTCTCGGCTAAGGGCTAAGTCCAAAAATGCTAGTGTTGAAGACAACTAGACGTCAGGAGGAGAGAGAAAGGACGTCCTAGTTTAGCCTGTTTCTGTCGATATTGTTCCAGCAATGCTTCTTTATGTCAGCAGTGGAATTTGATCCCAGTTTCTAAGTTTTTCTACATTCTCTGAACTATCTTTACCGCACCAACCCCATCAACCCCACTGAACATACAAAAATTGAGAAGTGCCATATGGAAAGTTTTTACTTCTTCCAGCTATGACACTTGCGTGTGTTTTTGACTTTTTAGTCTTCAAATACCAGATTAAATAATTTTTACATTATATTATTCCTGCTGAAATTGCTGATGTGGTTTCTGCTTTTCTGGTTATACCCTGCGTTGTGTACTATCCAAATATAGAAATATATAGCCAAAGTCCACACTACCATAATAAAAATCTACAATGTGCAGCATTTCTTTAATACTTGGGCAATGGAAAGGAAGAAAGTTGATTTCAAAGGTAGAAAACCATTTACCTGCATTGTTTTGGCACAAACTTTACCTTGAATTAACTACAGAGGCAGCCAGTGGGTCGACAGGGTTGAAAACACTTCCAACAGATTGAAAGACAAAACATTTAAGGTATGTTTACTATTACTGGCTACTGTTGGCAAAGTATTATAAGAGAAACATGACTGGCTAGTGTGAAGGCAGATATGTAGAGAAATAAAAAGAATACAGAAGTTTCTGGGGCTTCCTAAAATAGTTGGCTTCTTCTAAAGCCCAAATGGTGGGCTATAGATGAGGTATTGACTCAATTGATGCAACATTGATGAGTCATTGACTGGCAAAGCACAAAAATTTTTTTCAATTGAGTAAACAGATTCAAGACAAATATAAGATCATTGAGAGGCAGCACCCAATGAGATTTCTCTGTTGAATAAAATATCTCTGCCAAAGACCATGTTCAAGATATGGTCCTTCCACCTATCTTTCCAGACAGTACCAAATTGAGAGTGACATGAGAGAAAAAGAAAGTTATTCATATCCAAGAAAGAATATTGCTAGGCACATAGACTTCCAGGAAGCAAATACATTTGAACCCTACTAAGATCTCAGAGGACTACAGCACTAAAATAACAAAAGTACAGAAATATGATCCTTGAATATTCAAGACTTAAAATAACTGTTGATCTTTTAATCATTCTCAAACAGGAAAAAAAAATTATTTTTCTTTTAAAGACAGTGTTTTGCTCTGTCACCCACATTGGAATGCAGTGGTACAATTATAACTCACTTATAACTTCAAACTCCCAAGCTCAAGCTATCTTCCTGCCTCAGCCTCCCAAGTAGCTGGGCTCCAAATGTGTGCCACCTTCCAGCTATTTTTTATTATTATTACTTTTTGTAGATACAGGGTCTTCTTATGTTACCCAGACTGGTCTGAAACTCCTGGGCTCAAGCAATTCTCCTGCCTATGCTTCCCAAAGAGCTGAGAGTACAGGCATGAGCCATCATGCCTGGCCTCAAATAGGAAAAAAAGTATATTAAGGCTATGTAGCCCATAATGGGGACTTCAAGTATACACAAGGAGAACAATGAAAAAGGACGAACTTCTAAGAAGAGATGTTCAGAGGCTTGAGATAACTACAGATAAGAAAGATATCCCAAGGAACTGGGTCATAGCCTGTCAAAGACCCTCTCTGCCCTATATGTTGGGAGGACTTTATAACGTCTGTCCAAGAGCGTTTTACCTGTGACGGCCATGTGTATCTGATTCTTTCTCTTCACAAGCTATTTATTGTGGTTTCTATCTGCCTAGTCTTCTCTTGCACATTAGGTATATGTTGAAAGTGTGTTGTAAAATGCAGAAAATTTGTTTGTGGGGGATTCACTATTGTCATGATAATTTGATAAGGAAAAAGCCTAACCAGAAATCATTGACTTGAATTAAATCCAGTGACTGCAAGAATTTTGAGCTATCACTCTTGAAAGGTCATAATACCTTTTCGTGAGTCAATAGAGCATGAAATGAATATTTGGGGACCAGAAAGAGGGATTGTGGCAGAGATGGGCTAAGTCCACACTAATTTCATCTCCTTTTCTTGGCCACCTAGGAAGATAATATCTACAGGCCTCCTTTGCAGTTTAAGGCCATAAGATTGGGTTTTGACCAATGAAAGAATGTCTATCTCTAGGAGACTGAGCACCAGGCTTATAGAAGAAGCCACCAGCTCTTAAAGATCGCACTGGGAGGGGGACAATCTCCTAGCTGGCATGGAGATGTTTTGCAGCCTAGAGACAAGCCCTCAAGCAGCTGTATGCATTAATAAGATAAGATCCCGTAGCTTGTTAGCAAGCGTTATACTTTGTAACATTTGTAGGCAACAGGATGGGAGTCAAGTCTGGGTGGAAGGAGCACTTAGCAACCATTGAACATGTGATCCTAGCATGTGGGGCCCCACTTCCTTGGTTTGAGGCTTCTATAAAAGGCCAAGAGAGAGGTTTCTAGAGGCTTTCAGAGAACAGACAGGAGGTCCACCTCTTGCAGGCATGTATCTTCATTCGATGTCCTAGGTGTTTTTATTTGTGCCGTGAAGAGGTGCCACAGCAGGCACCGACATCTATCAGTTCAAAGTTTCTCCATAATGGCCCAGGAATGAGGTTCACATGGTCTCTTACCTTTCCTTGGTGACCTAAGATACCATGTTCTTATGAAGGTAGAATCAAAGGGTAGAAGTAGTCTGTATCTTTAAGTCATCCTTTGGCAGTGAACTTCCAAAAAGAGCTAGCCAACTCATATTAGACCACCCCATGAGAAAGAAATATTTTATTTTCTATTTTAAGAAACTGAGATTTGGAGGTTTTATGTTATAGTGTCTAAAGGTTATCCTCATAACAGCATTAGATTTAATTAACGGACTTAATTATTGATAAATTGGTATCTTGTCTTTTTCTTTCTACAAAATCTTGAATAGGAAAAAATATCATTAAACAAGTGAGACAATAAAGTGTAATAGAAAAAGTCTTGCTTTGAGAAGCCCCATTAGTATTAACCCTTTTATTATGTACTAGGTAAGTGGCTCTGGGAAAGTTAATTTCTCTAAGCCACTGTACACATCTATTAAATGAAGTTATTATTACTTTACTCAATTATAGGAAGAAAGCCAGAACAAAAGTTTGCTCAAGGATTCTTAGGGTTTTTGATCAATAATTCTGTTAAATATTAGTTAAGCATTACAGCTACTCTAGCAAACATACAAAAATATTTTTTAATTTAAAAATATTTGGCTACTTCATGATGCTGACAGGGAGCATAAACCAGCTGTATGTATAAAGACTGGGAACACCTGTTTATGTGGTGTTAACACATGCCATGGAGCTTTACTGAAAATGATCATTTATAAAGGATTACTTTAGAGTGATATGAGATAACACAGATGATAATTTCAAAACGAATCTATTTCCTAGGACTGGAAATAGCCAAGAGTGTTGCACATATCCCTCCACACTCTCAGCCCACCCTATAATCTGAAAGGATGACATTTAGGCAGAATTCTCCTTCCTATTTCTATATTTGTCAGCAGAAAGCCTATTCTTTCAAATAATCTCCCTAGAGATCCAATCACTGATGCTCATTTGGGTCAATCATTATTTCTGCTGTCATCTGAATGTCTGTGCTCTCTAATTCGTATCCCCAAATCCTAACCCTTGAGGTGCTGGCCTTAGGAAAAGGGGCCTCTGGGAGGTGATTAGGTCTAGAGGGTGGAGGTCTCATGAATGGGATTAGTTCCCTATAGAGGCCCAAGGAGGTTGACTGTCCCTTCAAACACATGAGAAGGTGCCATCTGTGAACTAGAAAAGTGGACCCTCACCAGATCACCAGCCACCAAATCAGATAGCAGCTTGATTTTGGACTGCTCAGCCTCCAGAACTGTCAGAAATAAATTTCTGTTGTTTAAAAGCCACCAGTTTATGGTATTTTGTTATAGCAGTCTGAACAGAATAAGATGGTCAAGTAATAGAAACTGTCAAGTAAACCAGAAATGAAAAGAAACACCTAGATGACTCTTTGCCTGTATTTAATTATATGTTCACTAGCTAATAAATCAGGCTAATAAAGACATTTATGTTCTTATAAAATAGTAAATAATAATTAAAAGATATCTAACATGAATTTAAAAGTTAGAGAGTCAATGGAATTTTTCCTTTTCAAATCAAAATGAAGAATGTTGCAGGCAAATCTAAACGGAGCACATTTAAAATTCCTTTTGTGTTCTCTTTTACTTTATTCCTAATCATTGGAATATAATGGGTATTGAAAACCAAGCATTTAAATGTAAAGCAGAAAATAAAACATGAAAGGATGTATTACCGGTTTGATCTTCAAATTATTTTTTGTGCTTGTTTAATTCACAATTTGTTGTAAAAATCATGACCTTTAATCCTATTTTAGACAGCTTTAGAAAAAAATATAAAGTTACAGAAGGTATGATTCTCCTTGTTTATCTTCTTTAAAAAGTTGTACTTGTCTTAACTCCTACTGATTCCGTTATACAACACAGACTCCAAGAATATAAACTTTAATTTAAATATTTATTTAAAGTCACTAACATAAGAAAAGAAGAATGTCCAAAATAATGGAAAGAGAAAGAAATAGTTGTTTAATTTGAATTAAAATCTAGCATGACATGAAGATTTTTAATGTCTATTAATTTAACTGCATCTATACGAATAATACAAAAAAGCAAATAAACAAGAATAACATTTACTTCGTAAGTAAACAAGAATAACACTTATATAGCAGGTCATCCCCCTCCCTCTTTTCGTATTTACACACAAGACATAAAATAACTTCCCACTCACCAGTGTGGAGGTCTGTGAGGCGTCGGCCAAATCCCCTGAGATCTCAGGTGTCCGTGTGTTGCTGGGAATTCTGTGAGGGTTGCGAGCTATCGCTTCACACCAGCCCAGCATTTTCTCCTTCCTCTTAGCCCTCTTCAATTTCTGAAATTCTGAAAATAATTTACAGTCTCTGAAACAGGTCACTTGTTTTAGTTGTGTTTTGGAAAACATACAAAATTAAAATTAAATTAACTATATAATGAAATACCCAGAGAGATTCTTTTCTAACTAAAGATTAGGAAGAGGAAAAGATGACTATGCCAATTATTAACAATGTCCTAGAGTAACAGGGTCACAAGACAATGGAGACGATATACATCTTTTCAAAGACTGTGACATCTTATATACCCCTCTTTGTGACATTTACAGACAATGGACATTCCTTGTGCCAGGTTCTAAGTATTACTTTCAGGTATCAGTTTATAATAACAAGTTCTTATCTTAAGAGCCAAGAACAGACCCAGTTCCTGATAATCACTACATATTTTAACAACATCTAAAATTTGGCATAGCTATTCAGTTTGCATATCCTATAAAAGCAGAATAAAACGAATCCAGGGCAGTGATAAAGATTAGTCATTCTGGCAGTGCCATGATTATCTCTCTCATAAAGTTCTGCCAACTAAAAAAGGAAAAAATTTATTGCAAGTATAATAAACTTAGTATATGTCATCTATCACCAATATAATCTATTCAAAATTAATCATTAAATAAAAATTCCTCACTATGTCATGAGTAGAAATATTCCACAACTCTAGCTTTCGAGAACTTTCCATTTGGGGGAATGTTTTGTCTCTGAAAATAAAGTCACATCAACAAAGACTTTTAAAATAATGGAGAAACATTGTTTCCTTTGTACAGTTTTATAGCCTACTTTTCCACTCCACCACCTTCAGTAATTAGAAATAGTTTATTGCAGGTCTTTAGTTAAATGCATTATGCTGTCAATTAAATATCAAAAATAATGTGGAGTAATTATTTTTCACAGCATCCAAAGCAATTAGCAATCTGGTGGTTTATAACATTTCAGGGATTCAAAATTGCACATTTCATAGCACAAAGAAAAGTAACATAAAGAATGGTTGCACTAAAGGATTGATGAGTTATTAGTCTAAATGACAAAATACTCAAGTGCATCTGAGCAATGTAAATAGGCAAGTGATAAACAGATCCTTTGTGAAAAGAAGTCTAAGCTACTCAATGGAATGGATTTCTTAAAAAGACTGGCAATCTAATATAAATGACTTACTGATTTCAGGTACAGAAAAGCAATAAGGAGAACTTGAAAACAATTATTTGAGTAAGTAACAAATGATTAGTACTTGTTATTTCAAATACCTTGCTTTAGCTTTTATGGAAAATTCTCTATTTTCTATGAAATCTGTATATCCAACTAATTTGCATTCCATAAAAAGTAAATATTTCCACATTTCCAGTATACATTATCTTGGTTACTCATCAGCTTTTAATTGCATTTCTTGAAGTGTTCTGAGAGTAAATGAAAGTATCTTTATTCAAAGACGAAGAGTGAAATGATACATAATGACCAAAACAATTTAATTAAGTATAAACAAATGTGCTGCTTCTAAGTCTTTTACATTTACTTTTTATCAATTTTAACTCTATAATTAAATATCACTTTAGTACTTGTAATAAAATGCTCAGTTCATGCATGAAAGAAAGCATATTAGTGTGGCCCACAAAATTATGATACCATCAGTATCCATTCTAAGATGTGTTTATAAAGGCAGAGGACTTCTTATGTCCTTTTCAGATTCTTTCTGATGTCACTCCACTGCAGTGACTGAAGCAGGCACGGAAGAGCCATAAGATGAAGATTACTTTCTTTTTCGATATGAACTGAGTTCAGTGCAACAACTTACTTGAGTGAATTTTAAAGGCCAAGAACCACTGGCATTTTTCTGATCTCGAATAATTAGACTTTTAAATGTATTTGGTTAACTCAAAGGTGACTGACAATTCTTCCTGATCTTAGATATCTTTCCTGAAGCTGGCTTGTATAAATCATCTTTTTGAACTATTTTGCTGAACTGTCAGTAACAGAACTGTCAGTAACAGCACAGAAATATTTACAAAGGAAGCAGAATGTGTGATGTGAGAGAGAGAGCACTCTAACTAGAGCTTGACTTTAGCTTTTTATTATATTAATAAGAACTTTATCTGGACATTCATATCACACTGCAAGAGAGATAGATATTTTGCTTAACTCCTTGCTGTATAATAGGCATCTGCTGACTCTGTTAGCTGCTTTAGAGCCAAAGCATCATCTCCTGGAAAAGTCAATGTTTACATAGCCTTGAAAGCAGCAGCATGGGTACAGGAGAAAATTGGAAGGGAGAGAGAGGGAATAAAAAAAGGAGAGATCCACTGCCTACCTCCTTAAATTCTGTGGGTAAGGGACTCTTACAATCTCCTAATGATACTATCTTCTTTTTTATTATCACCAAACACTGAGATTTTGGATCACATTAAGTAGATATTATAGAAGCAGTGTAGGTGAGTTAGGAGAACTGAGGAGTGAGGAGTGGTGACTGCTGAGCTGCTGACGACCAGTCTCCTTCCTACACAGGTCTGAAGGACTCATCCTATTCTTAGGTGAAGGAAGTACCATCAGCCAGAAGGATAGGCAAATGGTGAGCATTTATAATTAACCCTGAAACACTTTACACTGTAAGTACCATCGGTAATATATCAAAATGGGAAAGTGGTCATTAAGCATTCATGTTAATTGCTATCTAACCATTGAACCAAGCTAAAATGAGATGTGGCAATGAGCAACTTATATAATGATCACAGGAAATTGAGATTTAACTAAGCTTAATTTTTAATATGCTACTTCGAGCAGATATTTAATTTAATAAATAGGAGCACAGAGCATTCTCTGTGAACTGAATTGACAACAAATTAAAATTAGGGGGGAAATGCAAGGCAATTGGGTGTATCTTATGGAGAATAATTTACTTTTAATTGAGGAAACATCTACTGAACATATCCTTTGTGCCAGACGCTGTGCTTGGAACAGACAAGCCAGCCAACTTTCACAGGACAGCATGCAAGAACTATGACAGCAGTGTGTGAGCACCAGTAAGCCAGGGGAAAGATACTTCACTTAGCATCAGGTGCAGAGCAATATTGATTCTGGAAGAAGTAAAATTACAAGTAATTCACATTAAAGTTAAAATTTTCCAGGTATGTTGGCTCATGCTTCTAATCCTAACACTCTGGGAAGCCAAGGTGAATGGATCCCTTGAGCTCAGGAGTTCTAGACTACCCTGAGTAAGAGTGAGACCCTATCTCTGCTAAAAATAGAAAAATTAGCTGAGCCTTGTGGCAAGTGCCTGTAGTCCCAGCTACTGGGGAAGATAAAGCGTGAAGATAGCTTGAGCTCAAGAGTTTGAGGTTGCTGTGACAACCATGAGACTCTACCCTAGAGCAGCAGAATCAGACTCTGTTTCAAAATCATAATAATAAAGTTAAAAATTGTTACAGCTCTAAAGTCTCCTGCCACTAAAAGCTTAGCTGCACAACTCTGGGAGTCTCATTCCCTTTGCAAGCCATATAGATGACCCTGTGCTCCTGGGGATGCTCTTGGTCTCCTATACCACGAGTGCGGTGCATCTGCAGTTGTGCAACTCACAGCACTGATGGGCTGACTTCTCCAACTGAAGCTTTTTGCACCCACCTTTTTTTACTTCATGTGTAGTGTAACTGAATTACAAAAGCACAAATGCATTTGCTACAGAAAAATGAAGTTGCCTGTCTCTACTTAATTACCTGCTCAACTATTTCTTTCCACACATTTGTCTGTTCCACATCATATTCAGTAAAGTGTAATTAAGGTCAATAATTGATCCCTTTTTCACTACATATGTATACCTGAGAAAGTGCCACCTCATCCTCAAATTGGACACTTCTCAATGGCTCTTGTCTAAGAATTGGAAAGAATTTTTCAATTGAATAAATTTCAGAGATTTCACTGTGTATTTGTTAAGCTAACATGTAGTTAAGAAATAAAAGTCTAAACTATGAGACAGCCCCCCTACCAGGATAGTAAAGATGTTTAATTTCCATTATTAAAAAAGAAACTTATAAAAAGGAAAAGGACATTTAGAAATTTGCTTCCCTTCCTTGTTAGATTGCTTACTTCTGAGAATTAATGTTTGTTCCTTGGTGATACGTGTGTGTGTGTGTGTGTTACCCCCTACATACTGAGAACAGGAGAACATGTACACCTGCAACTCACACCAGCGCTGCTGTGCGCTTCTGAAGTGCTCAGGCAGCGCTATCAATTATTCTTGAAGACTTGCAATGCCAAAGACCACCAAGAACTTTTGGTTGGGGATCAATTCTGAAAGTCTTTAAACCAGATAACAATATTAGATAAATTTCTTGCTTCATAATGGAAAAGTGTCCTGGGGCTCTTCCTGATTGCTGTGGGTAGGCAATTGGGTTTCTCAAGGGAGGAAGAGATTCATATTTATACTTTAGGAGGTGGAACAGGAACTAACAGAAGGTCCAATATACCTGTTGATAATACAATGAATGAGAAGATAAAAAAATATATTCTACTTTTTAGAATAGCTATAAAGAGAGTCATAGTGAAGCTTTAAATTCTTTGATGCTTTTGGTTGGATAATCGGAAAGATATACTTAGTATATATTTTTCTTTTTAAAAATTATGTTACTACCTTGGAATTTATTTTATGGATTTATTTTTATTACATCATGACTATGTACATTTATGGGATACAATGTCCTGATTTGATATACAATGTGGAATGTATACCACATCAAACTGATTAACATAACCATCCCTCACTTATTTGTTGTGGTAGGACATGTATATTCTATTCTTAATAGTTTTGAAATGTACCATTGCATTGTACCTAATAGGTGAGGTCCCACCCAATGCCCTCCTTCCTCCCTCCCTCCTTCCTTCCCTCCCCTCTCCCTTCTCTTCCCTCCTTATTTTTGGACTCTAGCTGTGTTTTATTATTTATAAGATGTGTATGTGATCATATATTGGTTTCATAACAGTACTGAATACATTGGATACTTTTTTCCATTCTTGAGATACTTTATTAAAAAG